CCATGGCACACCACACAAGGATGAGGCCCCTCTGAGGCAGACATTTCAGGGCTGGTGTGAGACCTTCTCTTCTTCCGAGGTCCACAGAACCCCACTTGTATGAACAGGACTTGCCGCCTGGAGAGCTTGAGACATACACCTTCTGACTCGATATCTGGGGTGAGGCCTAAACTCTTCATCGCTAACAAGCTTCTGGTTGATGACAGCCAGTCTGCTAGTCTGTAAATGGGATAACCAAGTCACCCAAGTTTGTTGTTGTTGTTGTCAGTCAAGGGGTTTGAACTCTGGGCTTGGGCACTGTCCCTGCACTCTTCAGCTCAAGGCGAGCACTCTACTGCTTGAGCCTCAGTGCTACTTCCAGTTTTCTAGTGGTTTATTGGAGATAAGTGTCTCATGGACTTTCCTGCCCAGGCTGGCTTTGAACCATGATCCTCAGATCTCAGCCTCCTTGAGTAACTAGGATTACAGGTGTGAGCCAACAGTGCCTGGCTGCAAAAATCCTCTTGACATGAGAAAGAAGAGTGACTCTTAGGACCCGGATGTAGCTCAGTAAAGCTCTTGTCTAGTAGGCATAAGGCCCTGCATTCCATCCCTACTCCTGCCTATCTATTATATTTTATTATTATTAGCATACATTAGTTATACAGAAGGGGATTTCATGGTTACATTTGGACACATGTTTACAATATGTTCCAATCAGCGCCCCACCCCCAGCACCCCCTCATCTAGTGTGTTATATATATACATATGGAACAAATTTCATTCTGTCTGGCTTGAGGTCAAAATAATGATCTCTCCCTGTGGTCAGTGACTGCCACTTCTGCATGATGACCACCAGGTGGCAGATTTATACAACCTCATTAATAACCTCCATCTCCAGAAATCTCCAGCAATTCTCCCAGCTGGCCCAGCCTGCAAATCCAGCAAATTAATCTATGTTGTGATAATGAGCAGAAGGAGTTCATGTTGGGATTGTTTCTAAAACCAGATGGAGAATACCAGCGGGAGAGTTCCAGCACACTACTAAATCACAGGTCACTGAGATGTTTAGAGCAGGTGTACTCTTTCTGTATTCTACAAATGGCATCAATGCAGGGATCCTGGGTCTTATTAACTGTCCCCCATTGACTCCCAACAAATAATAGCATCATCTTTGGAACTCAAATCTACATATTTTCACTTACTGTTAAAGAGCTCAGCATCTCCAGACCTCAGTTTTCTGGGGGTGAAATGAGAGCAATACTGATTTCATATCATTGTTGGGGGGGGGGGAGAGCTGGATTAGGTGCAATAATTCATGTAAAAAATTCCAAAAATGGGAGTGGCTATGATGGTCATCATCTTGTACCTTGCCTGCCCCCTTTGGTCTTCACACCAAATTCTCCTCTTTTTCTCCAACACATATCCTAAAACAGAAACGAAACCTCAAAAGAAAAGAGGGAGAATGGGGCTGGGAAGGTTGCTCAGTGGTAGAGTGCTTGCCTTGCATGCATGAGGCCCTGGGTTTGATTCCTCAGCAGCACATAAGCAGAAAAAGCTGGAAGTGGCACTGTGGCTCAAGTGATAGAATGCTAGCCTTGAGCTGAAGAGCTGAAGGGTAGTGCCCAGGCCCAGAGTTCAGGCCCCACTACCAGCCAAAAAAAAAAAAAAGGGAGAGTTTAGATTTCAATATGGTAATAACCATGTCAGTTCTGGGTACAGTACTTTATAGACCCTATGATCTCTTTCATTGCAAGGTGGGGACAAATGAGAAACACCAAAGCCTTTGAAGAGCCAGGGGGCACTGGCAGGACTTTGTGTATGGAATTGTGGTTCCCAAACACACAGAAGGGCTTATTTTAATGCACCCCAGTTGCCAGTTGAGTGGATGTGGGGTGGGGCCCAATAATAAACACTGCTGACAGGCCCCTTGGTGATGCCAATGGTGTGGGTACATAGAGCACAATAAGGTCAGGAAGGGAATAGAGGAATCAAGGGTGTGGGTTTGGGGTCAATCTGGACCTCCTTTTCTGGCTTAATGTAGTTAGTGCTAGCTCTGCAATCTTGGATAAATTACTTAAACTCTCAACTGTCATTTTATCATCCATAAAGAAGTTATTGGGCAAGGTCGATTGGGCTAATATGGTCTGGTATGCTAGATCTCAGACTTGATTTAACTGTTCAGGGTAGCAAGCATTGAGATTTTTTATTATTATATTATTATTATTTTACCAATCCTGGGGCTTGAACTTAGGGCCTGAGCATGGTCTCTGGGCTTTTTGTGCTCAAGGCTAGCCCTCTACCACTTGAGCCACAGCACCACTTCCGACTTTTTCTGTTTATGTGGTACTGAGGAATTGAACCCAAAGCTTCATGTGAGGCAAGCACTCTACCACTAAGCCATATCCCAGCCCAGCATTTTTTTTTTTTTAATTAACTAAAAGATTTTGCGCTGGGTGGCTCATACCTTTAATTCTAGCTACTTGGGAGGCTGAGATCTGAGGCTTTGTGGTTTGAAGCCAGCTAGGGTGGACAAATCTGTGAGACTTTTTTTTTTTTTAATCTCCAAGCAACTAGCAAAAAAATGGAAGTGTCTCAGGTAGTAGAGCACTAGCCTTGAGCAAAAAGTTCAGGACAGTGCCCAGGGCTTGAGTTCAAGCCCCAGAACTGGCACACACACACGGATTGGTTTAGCGCTATGGTTCCCAAATTTTAGTATGCATGGGAATCACAGATTGCTGGGCTGCACCTCCCCCGCCCCCCTTTCTGACATATTAGGTCTACAGTCAAGTTAAGAATTGGCATTTCTAGCAAGTGTGCAGGTGCTGCTGGGTTGCGGACACTAGTCCATACCCATCAGTGAGGAACTTTCAGAGCCGGAGTTGTTGAATCTTGGCTTGCTTAGCCCAACCCGTGCATAACAAGGCCTTGTTGCTCTAGCAAACCCACCTGCTGGGAGCAAGGCTGGACCCCGAGGAACAGGCTGTTCTAGAACATGGGAACACAGCATCCAGGGGAAGAGTGGGTCCAAGGCCTGGATAACTCAGAGCCCAGGAACAAGATGCATAGTTGGAAGCCAGGCCTCTGGCTCAATACAAGGAACACGTTTTAACCTTGAGAACTGCCCTGTCTGAAGATGGCATCCGCTTCCTCTTTCAACAGCCGGTTTCCTTCCCTGTGTGTGACCTGAGGCGGGTAGGGGAGAGTAGTCCAGACGAAGTGGGGAGCAGGGCAAACCAGAGATGCGTGAACTGGAAGGAAGATCGCTATGTTCCCTTTGAAATCTGAGTTTACACATGCCCGCTGCCACCCCCATTAATCCAGAAGCTTTGTTTATTTAGGGAGGTGTTGGTCTGGAGCTTTCCCAACGGGCTGGTTTCGGGTGGTGGTTGTTTTCTCCTACCAGAAAGCAGGTTACTTTTCCTGGGCATAGACAGGCAGAGCACTGGATAAAGCCAGCAGGTGGGCAAGGCTTGGGGAGTGGGGGCGCAGGAGGCGCCAGGGGAGCAGTACCAGAGGCCCTGGACCCTGCCCCGTGTGTGAATGGGGGTGATGCCGGGTGACCCATCCCCGGAGGCCAAACCCCGTCTGTGTCCGACAGAGAGTGGGGAGAATAAGGGAAGAGTCCAGCCCACGCCGCTCTGGCCACATCAGAGCACCAAGAGAACACCACGTCTTTATTACAGGAATTCCTATGAAACCGCTCCAAGGAAAAAACCACAAACCACACACGGGACGGGGGTGGGGGGGAGGATAACAGCACACGCACACACACACACACATACACACACGCGCGCGCGCGCGCCGCGCGCACACACACGGACTCGGAGCTGCGGCTTCTCCCGCGCGCCAGGGCGCACGCGCTCTGACCACTGCCGGGGGCCCAGACTCCCCCGCCTGGAGCTTCGGCTAGCGGCCTGGGGGGCGGGGGAAGGCGGGTCGGGAGGGAAGAGCTCCTTGGCGAGCGATCCAGGAGGGCGGACACCTCCTCTTGGCTGGCGGTTGCGCTCCGGATCCCGCTGCACGTGCCGCCGAACTGCGCGCTTCCAAACTTGGTCACTCCGGCCGGCCGCGCCGCCCTGCCCAGCTAGGGATTGCGGGGGGGAGGCGCAGCTCGGTTCCCCAACCCCACCCCCGAATCCGAGCAGGGATGGAGGAATTCTCTCAGGCCCCTCTCCAAACTTCCGATCCCCTCCCCCAACCCCCAGTCCCACCGCAGCGGGAGCCTCCTGCTGCCCCGTCAGACGGCTGGGCGGGAACAGGCCAGCTCGTTCCCAGGTCCGGGCCCCGGGGCCATGCGCCCCGCCCCCGCCCCTTGGCAGTGGTTGGTGCCGGTTGAGTTCGTTTAAGAGTTCATGGAATCAAGTTTTCCTTTTCAGATCGCCGCCGCCTGGATTCTCCCAGCCAGGCTGGCCACTTCACCTAGGTCCTGGGACCCCCCCCACCTTCTGGACAGTCACTCCTGAGTCTCCCGCTGTCACACCCCCTTAGGACACAGTCGGACTAGTCCAGCTACCCCAGATCCTAAGAGCCTCCACTGTAGTGTATGAGAATCCAGAGCTGGCTTTTGGACTTTGGCCAAACTAAAGACCTTACAAGAGTCCTTGGGCTCCAGGGTAGGGGAGAAGGGAGGGAGGGGGAGATCCTCCTCATCCTTGCTTGGTGAAGCGGAGGTTGCCAGGCTGTGCCAGCCCCTAACAAGTAGCTCAATGAGCCAGACAGGACAGGCAGCAGATTCCGCCTTGTGATGCCCAGGGCTGTCCCTAGCAGAGAAGGGGTTGTGGGGAGGGTCTGCTGCCAGGGGAAAGGCTGGGATGTAGGAGAGCTTGGGAAGAAGAGGAGGAGGAGGACCTCAAGGAATCTGGGAATGGGGTAGATCAGGCAGCCTGTGGCTTGCCAGGAGAGGTGAGGACGGGGGACAGGAGATCCTCCTTCAGGCCCAAGAGCCTCTGCTAGTGTCATCCTTTGCTTTCCCCAAACTTCAATCTTTGTCGCTTCCTGGGATTTTTGTTTTGCTTTTCCTTTAAAGCAGGGAAGGGATGGTTCCTGTATTTCTGTTCATTGCCCACAGAAAAGCCTGGCTATAAAAGGGGGCTGTGACTGGCTGCTGCTTTTGGGGCCCCAGGTCCCTCTTCCAATCTCAGGATGGCAACTCGAAGCTCTAAGTCCCGCAGTAAATGGCAGTGGCTGAGCTGGACTGTGGCCGGAGAGCCCTGGGCCTTGGTATGCAAGCACCATCTGTCCGGCTGCAGCTGGGCCCTTCAGCTGGGTGCCGGTGTTGCTGTCTGGCAGCCCTCACCGGGTCAGAACATCTCTGGCGAGGCAGAGCTGCTGACACCTAGGAGGAAGAAGGGACAAGTGTTTAGAAAGAGATTCTTGGTCTTCCTTGATCACTGGTTCCTAGAGAGACAGTTCAAGGCAGAAGCTACCAAACGGTCCCCTCCTTTTCCCAGCTCTAAATCAGTGTAGGAACTCCTTGTTTCCCTAGAAACCTGCAGGAACTGACAGGAGATAGGGGGAGGGAGAGATGGGAAGGGTAGGAGGCTTCATAGAAAGGGCTCCCAAGGTGGGACATTTTGTGATAGGCTGGTAGCTTAGATGAGCCACATCAGGGACAGAAGGACAAAGAAGTAAACTGGAGCCAGGATTTGGTGGGACTAGACATCAGGTTGAGGAATTCGTAGAACTTTGCTCAAAAGATCCAGTCATCTGGGAACCAAAGACTCATGCCTGTAATCCTATCTACTCAGGAAACAGAGATCTGAAAATCAAGGTGCAAAGCCAGAGTAAGTCCATGAGATTCCTGTCTCTAATTAAACCGCGCGCGCGCACGCATACACACACACACACACACACAGAAGCTGGAAGTAGAGTTGTAGCCCAAGTGGCAGAGCATCAGTCTTGATCAAAAAACGCTAAGGGATAGTGCCTGTGCCCTGAGTTCAAGCCTTAATACTGGCAAATAAAAAAAGGGCAGGGAGAAGTGAAGTAAGACCAAAGTAGTGTTTGGGCAATGGGATAAACAGAGATAGGGAAGGGACCCGGCTGCCAAGTGGTGATGATTCTGTTGGGGTAATGGTGAAGGAATAGGGAAGAGGAACAGAAAGAGGAATTGGGGAGGAGAGACTGGCTCCACTGAGCTGACATTCAGGACTGAAAAGACAATCATGAAGGCAGGTGGGGATACAGAGCCCATCTAGAGGAGTCACTGCACTGGGGTCTTGGCGCTTGGAGCCAACTGCTCAGAAGAATTGTGATGCTATGACAGAGGGCAGTAGTGTTACCAGAGAGTGGGCAGGAAGAAGCTAGAAGAGGGCCAAGGACTAAGAGTGGAAGGACCAACAGAAGCCAGGGAAGAAGGAAGAAAAGAAGGAAGGAAAAGGCTCCTGAGGTCATAGGAACCAGGGGAAGGCTTTCAGGAAAGAACCAGGGACTCTGAATGTGGAAGAGAGTTCCAGAAAACAGGACAGGATGCAGTCCTGGAGCTGGCAGATGACCTCCTTGGGTCAGTCCCCTCCTAGATGCTGCCAGCTTGCTGAGAATGGAGGAGGATGCCACTCTCTTGGTGGATGCGAAAGACAACAATAAAGACTCCTGGCTTTTACAGTGGAGGGGAGGAGGAAGTAAACTTGAAGAGCTGTGAAGGATAGAGCTGGAAGACCCTGGAAAGAAAGGAATGATGGACAAGGTTCTGAGATGGGGTGGCTTGGGGGAGAACATTTTCCCCAGGGTACCGGTGGGAAGGAAGAGGGGTAGGAAATAGTAGCAGCATCACATGGGAGTGAGGCTTTCTCTGGGCATCCCAGAGAAGAAAGAAGCAGGGGTACAGTTCTGTGGGTGAGAAATCTAGGAAGAATGGGAGAGTGCTAGAAGTGCCTGGGGAGGGATGGAGTAATGAGCTAGAAGGGAAGCTAGATGCTCATGTGAAGAGTATATTTACTGCTAGGCCCTCTGTGCCCTGATATATCTTGTCTGCACCATGACTGTTCTGATGAGACCAAGGATTTCCACAAAGTCTGAAACAGAAGCTGGAGTAGTCCTAGCTATTCACAAAGCTGAGCTCTGAGGATTGTGGTTCAAAGCCAGCATGGGAAGGGGAGTCCCAGAAACTCTTATCTCCAAATTAACTACCATGCCAGAAGTGCTGTGGCTCAACTGGTAGAGCACTAGCCTTGAGCAAAAGCAGAGAAAGAAAGAAAGAAAGAGAGAGAGAGAGAGAGAGAGAGAGGAAGGAGGGAAGGAAGGGACAGAGAGAGAGCGAAGGAGGGAGGGAGGGAAGGAGGAAGAAAGAAAGAAAGAAAGAAAGTCAGTCAAGCACGCAAGCTCAGGGACAGTACCCAGGCCCTGAGTTCAAGCCCCAGGACCAGGAAAGAAAAAAAAACAAGAAAGTCTGAAACAAGAACACACTTGCCGTACCACAGCTCAAGAAAGCCTGATAGATGCTGACTACTAGGACCAGGAGAACAGCCGGAGGTAGGGCAGGGTATCTGGATTCTGGATGGGAAAAAAGGGAAGAGGGGCAGGGGTGCCTGGGTCCTGAGGAAGTGTCAATTCTCCCTATTCCCCCACCCCATCCCGTTCCTGAGAGTGCACAAGAGAAAGGTAAGCCAGTCTTGAAGATTCAGCCAGAAGTAGCTGCTTTGGGAGGGCCCATTTCTAAGTCTGCTGTGGACGATGCCAGATGACCCAACCTAAGTAGGGGACTGGACACTGTTCTGTGTGTGCAGGGCCACCTTAATTTTTCTTAAATTGTCCTCTCAGTATGCATTTTGTGTGCAGTGTGTGTGTGTGTGTGTGTGTGTGTCCTGGACTGTTTTCTCAATGGCACTCTAAACTATTCAAGTTTGTTTTCCTCCTTCCAGTCTGTGTCACAGGCAGATGTGATTCTTTTCATCAAATGAATAAATAACCAAATAAAATAAATGCCATGCAGAAGCCGATGCTCCCTACCACAACTATAAAGAGAGTCAGGATCATCACTATCCAGAGCCAACACTACCGGACCCCTGGAAGGGCAAAAAGAGAGACAGTCCCCGTGCAGTTGTAGTGCAGGTCTTACCTCTACTGTCCTTCCCGTAGGGCCTCTTCCACCTTGGACATCTCTTGCCGCCTTCCTCGGAAGTCTTCATCTGAAAGGCAACCGGGGGTGACCTCATTCCCCATTCTGCAGTGCCTGGCTCAAACACGTCTCAACTGGAGCCAAAGAGCTGCCCCAACTTACTCTGCCCCTTTGGGGTACATGCTGGTTCCCAGGCAGTGATCATGAGTCTGGGAAGAGAAGCAACAGCACCGAATGCTGGCCTGACTCCTACCGTTGATCTCTGAGGCCTTGCTCAGGTTCTTCCTTCCTGCTTGGGCCTCATCTCTCACTTATTATATGGGATAGAGATGTTGGGCTTCCAAGACCTTGAGCCCTTGTTTCTGGACATCCCCTGGCCTTTTTTTTTTTTTTCCTGTGGGTCGCAGGGCTTGAACTCTGGACTTGGGCGCTGTCCTTGTGCTCTTCAGCTCAAGGTAAGCGCTCTACTGCTTGAGCCACAGCACCACTTCCGGTTTTCTAGTGGTTTATTGGCGATAAGACTCTCACAGACTTTCCTGCCCGGGCTGACTTTGAACTGTGATGCTCAGATCTCAGCCTCCTGAGTAGCTAGGATTACAGGCGTGAGCCACCAGCACCCGGCTGTCCCCTGGCCTTTCAAGGGAGCTTCGGCATGCAGATCAGGGTTCAGCTGTGAGTGACCTGTTCTGAAGCAGAGTCTTCTGGCCCCAATGGCCTTTGGAAGGCAGCAGGTAAAAGCTGAAATCCCCTGGATCCTCATACTGAAGCTGCCTAGCTCATGGCTCCCTGTGGGAGACCCACCTGTCTGCCCATTGTACCCCCAAGAAATGCTGCCCAGGAATGGTGCCTGGCACACAGTGCTACAGGTAGAGATCTGAGTGGAAGCAGGGCTGGACCCTCTTTTAGGAACTGCAGGAAGGCAAATGTACTATGCCCAAGCAGAGGGGAGTCTATGTTTCTTAGCCCAGCCCTTGATGTACCCCCATGGTTGTGCCTCTTCCTCCTGACATAAAACTCAGGAGCTCCTCTTTTTGAGGGGAGGGGAAGGGCCACCCATCACAAGCAAGTTGGAGCTCAAAAGCCGCCCCCCCCCACCTCCTCACCACAAGCATGGCCCTCAACGTCATCCAGGAGGTTGGCCGTTGACGCAGCAGCCCCCAGCCTGCCAGGTCGTTCAGGAAAACTGCCCCAGAGGTGAATGGACAAGCACTGTGTCCATTCTATGCCACTGCCTGCCCTACAGCTGTTCCCAATCCCCCCAAGGTCACAAGGTTTCTTCCATATCTCCTATTCCCCAGCACCCCAACACTGTCCTCATCAGGCTCCTTTCTCAGAAGCAGCTGCACACCCAGGCCCTGACCTCCTCACTTTCCTCCCACAACTAGTAATAAAATCTCCCTACTCCCCTTTGCCCATTCAGCTTTTAACATCGGGCACTGCTGGACAGGCATGGGTAGTTTGTACCTCCATAAGGAAAGGTATCTTTCGTAAGGAACTGGGAGTAAAATGGTGGGTCTCTGGAGAAGAGTTTGCAGAAGACCAACACATGGACCATTTCCATGAAAGGAAATAGGGAATGGTTTGCTGACTGCAATGGAAGGACCAATTTTTCTCCCAAGATGCAGTTTATCCAAAACCCAAAGAAGAAAAAAGAAAAAAAAAAAAAACTATAGAAAGGACAATTTCATTGTCTGCTCCCCACACCTGAACCCAAGTGCTCTGGGAGGGGGCAGGCTGGAAGACTAGGCCCAGAGAACAGAGTGGAGGCATCAGTGCTGGTTGCCTCTTGCTGAAGGCATAGCCTCCATGGGTCCAGCGGGGGCAACCACCACCCCGCCCGGTGCCAGGCAGAAGGAAGGATACAACGGATGCTTTGGCAAGTGTCTCCTCTTTGACTTCCTCATTTTGGTCTTCTCCGAGAAGGCCCGGGCCAATTCAAACAGCTTCCTCCGGGTGGCTGGAGCAGAGAGACCTGTGAGCCTTTCATTCTCTTGGCAGCCAGAGCACCAGATGGCCTCCCTCCAGGTCTGACAGAGACCGGGGCAGCTCCAGGCCCCTGGGGTAGGAGCTGAGGCAAGAGAGGTGACAGCAATCACAGACAAGGGGCACCACCTCCCAACCTCGGGGAACAAGGCTGCAATTCCAGGTCGGCCTGCAGGGGCAGCACAGGCCACCACAAGCCAAGTCCAGGGTTTGTCAGCAGCCCAAGATCCGGGTATTCCTTCACCGGTGGCGACAGCCAGCCACACGTCTTGCATTGCTTTCCACCCAAACCTCTTCCTGCCCCTCCCCTGGCAGAGCTGTTCCTGGGATTTCCATGACTAATCCGCCAGTTTCCCAGAAATGGAGCCTCAAAGGGTAGCAGCCTTATTCACACTGGCTGTAGGGCTGGGGGTGATGCAAGGGGAAGGGAGGGGGCTTTCAAGATGGACAGGACTGTAGGTCCCCTCCCCAGACTCCTGCCAAGCCCTCAAGCCACAGACAATGTGCACATGGATGTCAAGACAAAAGGATGCCCACACATTATTTCTCTGCAGACAGCTGGCTCAAGAGGATTTAAACTCAATTTGTGTCTACAGAAAAGTGAGGCAGGAAGGCTGAGGAGCCAGCCTGTGATTAAAATGTCATTCCCATTTGCCAAGAGTCAGGGGCATTAAAAATTCAGGGTGGGGGAGAGACTCCTTTCCTCCCATGAGGCCACAGGGCCTGCCTCATTAGCCCTGGGAAGAGGGGGGAACGTAAGCTGGACTCACATTTTCCCATATGTTTCAACTTGTCCCTGAATAAGGCATCTTCAGACACAGCAGGGTTGGGATCACTGGTTCCTGGAAAGAGGAGGTACCTGCTGAGGGATGGAGCCCTTTGGGTCTCAGGTACTGCGATGAAGGGAAGGGCAAGAAGCTACCTTGATGAGGTGGGGCAGGGGGAGAGGGGGGAATTCCTGCGCTCCATGGTGGCTGTTCTCAGCCTGTCTTTCCATTTGAGCAAGAGGATAAGGCTTCTGACAGGTGTTGGTGGCTCACACCTGTAATCCTAGCTATTCAAGAAGCGGAGATCTGAGGATGGTAGTCCGAAGCCAGCCAGGGCGAAAAGACATACAAAAAGAGTACAGGCCTCTTTCCCAGCTGGAGGGGTTCTAGAAATACTTTTTTCCCCCCTTGCAAGCTATGTTGTTCTCCTCTGTGAAAACGCTGACTGTCTTAAGAGTGGAGAGCTGGCTGGCAGGGAATACCAACCAGCCACTTCTCTGGCCAATTCTACTTTCTGTGAAGTCATCCGAACAGTTTGAAATGAGTGGTGGCCTGGGTATTTACATGATGGAAGTCACCAGACACCACAAACCTGCCACCCTCCGCACCCACAGCAGGTTAGTCAATTCACTAGCACAGCTGTCCCGGCATCCTGATATGCATGAGTCAAAGCAGGAACAAGGCAGAGCAAGAAATACCAAGGAGATCCCCTTCATCCTTCCAGGGCTATCCTCTGTCCCGCCCAGACAATGAGAAGTAATGAGGATGGAGCTATGGCAAGCGTCAGGCCCAGCCTCTGGACTCCCTCAGCACAGAACTGCTTGCATTTCTTACTGCCCTTCTAAAGCCACCACTCCCCACCCGGCACCTTGGCTAATCCCAAGTCACCTTGCCTGCTAAGTCCCCTTTGAGTCATTCTGATCCATCTCAGCAGCCCTGGTGTCTCTGGTTAATTCGGGATCAAGGACAAGAGGCTCTGTGGAAACTCCCAGATGCACATCTGGTAAAGACTAAGCTCCCAGCCTCTTGCTTACAAATCAGTTCTGTGGGATTTGCTCTGTCCAAGCTGGGATCAGTGGGCTCTCCATCCTTCTGCCCCTCCATGCCCCACTCCACTGCCTGAGGGAGGGGTGGTTCCAGACAAAGCTGCTGAGTCTCTCTGAGGAGGTGGGTGGAGTGAGTGCAGTGATTAAGAGCCATTTGGCCCACACAGGTGGCAGAGCCCAGCCCCAGCTCAACCCTCTGGTCCATGAATCCCACTAGTACTCCTGCCTAGCCCTTGGCCCGTCTCAGCCATTAAGACTTCTGAGACAAAGGGCCTGGCTGGTTCTCTTGAACTCAAAGCTCCAAATTCCTTTTGCTTCAACATCTAGGGCAGGGATTGGTCCATGGCAGATATTTCCCAGTTACTTAAGAGATAAACAATTGAACCCTTTCCAGATTAATCCTACCCTCCTCCTGTCCATGCATTTGCTCAGTTAACATGTGTTTTGCTGGCTTTGCTGGTTTGCTTTTCCTTATCTTCATATAAGACTGTGAGCTCCTTCAGCATACAGATCAAGGATCGCAAGTCCCCATTTGCTACCAAATGACATTATATGGTTCGATGCAGACTCCCCCCACCATCTTTCCCTCCCCACTCCCCGCAGAGGTGTAGTTCAGCCAGCCTGTGTTAACCCCCAGCTGTGGCATTAGCAAGAACCCCAGATAGCTTACTCTAGAGGAAATGTCCCCTTCCAGCCTGCTGTACCATCTCAGGCCCCTACCCACCATCTGTTTATTCACTCTACCCCTAACTCCATGTGTGCAAAGTAAAGCTGGGGTGTGAGTTCCTCACTTTCTCCAGGCTTCTCTGGTGGGAAAGCAAAGTTACCTTGGACCGAAGAGGGAAAGCCAAAGTCATTTCCAACAGCCACACTGCTAGATTTGGATTTCTGGGACTCATACTTCAAGCGATCTGGAAAAGGAACATGTTCCTTCTGTCAGAGAAGTAAGCTCCAGGGCTCCCAGGAAGTATGCTGCAGATTGCCAGAAGCCTGAACCCCTAGAATCTCACACAATTGCACACAAGACACTACCAGCTCTTGAAGAACCAGTGATAATGAAAACGACTGCCTGGTTCTAACATTCTGGAATGTTCAAATGGCAGATAGAAGCTCCCAGAGAGACTGGAGATCAGCAACTCTAGAAAGACCAACACCTCTGTTGCAGTGTGGGACCAACCTGAACGTCCCCTCCCTCTAGTCCAGCATACTCGCAGAACAGCTTGTTCCTCCCTGACAAACACACAATAGTCTCAATCTCTCTGACTTGCACAAGGTAACCTCCACACCCTTTCTCCATACCCTACCCTAAACACCCTTCCTCCTGAAGAGGAAAGACAGCTAGGCTGGAAAGCAGGGCATCCCAACCTGCCTTCCACTCTGGCAGTTACCATTCTTTCTGCCCTATAACTGAAGCTGTGCTCTTATCCCTGCAGCCCTGGGCAAAGACCAGTGCTGAACACAGAGCAGTCATATAGGGGGTAAAGGGAAGGTCTCAGCGGGTACACCATCCTCTCTCTCCCTCTCTGAGTCCCAATGTGTTTCTTACCCTGTTGATAGAATTTTGGTGTCCTCTGATAGAAAGTATGGTGTGGACCATACTTTCAGCAGGACAGAAAGGACCTGGCACCTTGTTCTCCGACACAACCTGAGCTCTAAGGCTAAGTCTTACATCACTTCCTTCTTCAGCCATGGGGCAGTGGCCACAGGCCCACTTGGTACCCACCTCTCTCCAGTGCAAGGAGGAAGTCCCGGTTGCGCTGTAGTTCCTTCATGAACTCCTCATTCTGCAGGAAAAGCGCAATCCTCTCGTCCTCCAAGTACTGCTTCCAGCGGCTGTCCTGGTCGCTAGCCATCGGTGCGGGGACAGGAGGTATGCTTCCCTCTCCACTCACAGGGTTACCCTGAAGAGGAAGCAAGCATGCTGCCCAATGCCTACTCATTTGTTGACTCTCCTGGGACTTGAACTCAAGGCCTAGGTGTTGTCCCTTCACTTTTTGCTGGTTAATTGGAGATCAAGAGTCTGGCTTTGAACTGCAATCCTTGGATCTCAGCTTCCTGAGTAGCTGGGATTATAGGCATGAACCACCAGCACCTAACTGAATGCCTACTCTTGATGGCACACTGGGTACTAACATCTATGCACGTGTGCGCATATACATAACCTTCCCCAGATTCTTCCAGCCCCACCCTGAGGTGCACACCCCCTAATGGGATGCACTTGTCAGCCCAAATCCCTAACAGGTCAGAATCTTCTCTGCAGCAGCAAGGGCTTAACATCTATTTTTCCTCTTGACCTCAGATTACCTCATTTTTTCATCTATATCCTCAACAGTTCTGAAGAGACTTGCAAAGTGCTCAAACTCCTCTCTCTCCCTGAATCAGCAACCTCACATGAGACACATATACTTCATAGGACCATCTTGGGACATGCCAGCATCTGGAGAGAGGCTGCCTCTGGCCCTTTCCCAAGGAAGAGAAAAGAAGTGCCCTGGCTCTCTGCTCTTGGCTACCCCATACTCCCTCCCTCCAGCCCAAGGTGATGGCCTCAGCCAGTCTCCAGCCATCACTTTCCCTGAATCAAACAGGAAGCCACCAGGCCCAGACAGGAAGTGAGGCTTTTGGTTCAATGCCCCTTTCCTACAAACCCAGAGCAACAGAAATAGCTCAACCAGAGCTTAAAAATCAGGAAGCAAAACTGAATCAAACCAATCATGTGGGCAAAGAGAGATGCTGGACAGGCAGATAGGCCTGGAGGGTGGGGAGCAGTTACCTGCATGCTGTCCAGCTGCTGGGGCAGAATACGCAGGAAGTCATCAGGGAGCTTGCCCAGTAGCGGTGGGTTCCAGTTCCGGTAGCGCCTCTGGCTTGTAGGGGGTCCTGAGCTCAGAACATCAATCCTGGGGAAGGGGGTGATAAGGGGAAGTCATCTCAACTACAGGCCTGGTGGCCCATGACACCAGCTCACAGCCCTCTCTCATCATCACAGGCTCTTTTTAATAAGCCTTGGCTTTGGGCTGACAGTCATTGTTCTCCCAGGTCTCTAGATCTCATCGTACTGATGTTGATGTCCTGGATTTACACACAGGCGGTCATGAATGTCCTATGCAGATGGCATGGGTCGTATCCTTCGGTGCTTATGTCTCTAGCCCCTAGCACACATCAAGCTTGTGGCTGAGTAACAGGTACGGTCCAAGGAATAAACACAGAAACCCCAGCCTGATGTCTGGTGGTTTATTGGGAAGGGAAGAAAACAGGACCTCTAGAGAACAGAGCAGATCTGAGCTCTCATTCTGCCTTAACCATAACCAACAAGTGGGCTTAGGAAGCCCCTATTTATCTCTGGGACTCAGTTTCCTCCTCTAGAACTTGTTGCTTCCCTGCCAAGAAGGAGGGGGCCCTCCTAAGCTGCATCTTGCACAGCCTTCTCTTAGCACTTATTGGCTGATTATCCACCTCTTGTGTGTGTGTGTGTGTGTGTGTGTGTAATGTGTATGTGTGTGCATGTGTGCTGCATGTGCGCTTGCACACAACAGTACTGAAACTTGAACTCAGGGCCTGGACACTCTTCATTAGCTCTTTTGATCAAGGCTGGTGCTCTACCACTTGAGTCACAGCTCCATTTCTGCCTTTTTCGTGGTTAATTATAGCTAAGAGTCTCACAAACTTTCCTGTCCCTGCTGGCTTTGAACCACGAGTCTCAATTCTTAGCTTCCTGAATAGCTAGGATTATAGGCCTGAGTCACTTATGCCCAGCTGGAAAGCTTTTTTTTTTTTTGCCAGTTATGGGGGCTGAACTCTGGGCCTGGGTTCTGTCGCTCAGCTCTTCAGCTCAAGGCTGGCACTGTACCACTTGAGCCACGGTGCCACTTCTGGCTTTTTCTGCTTATGTGGTGCTGAGGAATGGAACCCAGGGCCTCATGCATGCAAGGCAAGCACTCTACCACTGAGCCATCTTCACAGTCCCCTTTTTTTTTTTTTTTAACCAGTCCTGGGGCTTGAACTCTGGGCCTGGGGGCACTGTCCCTGAGCTTCTTTTGCTCAAGGCTAGCATTCTACCACTTGAGTCACAGCACCACTTCCAGCTTTTTCTATGTATGTGGTACTAAGGAATCGAACCCAGGGCTTCATGAATGCAAGTCAAGCACTCTACCACTAAGCCACATTCCCAGCCCCAGCTCTTTTTTTTTTTTTTTTTTCTTTTTTGGGTCTAGTGGTGGGGCCTGAACCCTGGGCCTGGGCACTGTCCCTCAGCTCTTCAGCTCAAGGCTAGCGCTCTACCACTTGAGCCACAGCGCCACTTCCGGCTTTTTTCATTTTGCTTATGTGGTGCTGAGGAATCGAACCCAGGGCCTCAGGCATGCAAGGCAAGCACTCTACCATTGAGCCACCTTCCCAGCCCCCCCCAGCTCTTTTTTTTGAGGGGTGCTCAGGACCCACTCTTTCCAGGCAAGGTGAATGGCAAGGACCTGGGCCAGGACAGAGGCTCATCCTCAAAGCAGGGCCGGGGCGAGGGTGGTGGGGGTGGTGGTGAGGCCAACCTGCAGCTGCCCTGCCCCCCCAAGCTCCTGCCCTGGCCCAGGCCTAAGGGCAGCTGGAGCCAGGCCAGAATCTCCCCCACAGTAACTCGGCAGCCTGCAGCGTGGCAACCGCAGGCCACGCGTCCTGCTGAATCAGGGAAATGACACACTGAGAAGGCAGCCGGGCTGGGGGCAGTGGGGGGCTGCTCTCTCAGGCAAAGCCTGGCTTTGATTTGGCCTCCCCAGCTCCAGGAATCCCGCCCGCCCCCTGGCTGGAGAGAAGCTTTTCCCCAGCTGCCTCCCAATGTGGAAATAACTTCCTTTTTCTATTTTGGGTTGGTTAGCTGGGTGGAGGAGAGGGGAGGGTGGGGGTAGCAGCAGACGGAGAACCAGCTGCTAAGTGCTTGCTGCTTAGGGCCTGGAGCCAAGGGAACCCCTCAAGCTCGGGCCACCCTCTGGCTACAATACAGACAAGAAGGCAGCTGAGGACTCCCAATCCTGAGCCACCTCTGCCCCTAAGGAGGCTTCTTTTCCTGCCAAGGCCTGGGGGGTGGGCGCTGGAAGGGGGGGTTGAGGGGAGGGTGTCTGGCATTTCTCAGGGCCCAGAAGATCACCTTCCAGCCACAGGGAGCAGAAATCCTCTCCAGGGTCATTACCCTTCCTTAGGCCCCAGGGTACTCATCTGGGACACAGTGCCAACCCACAACATCTTACAGAGAGGGAGCGCAGGGTTAGGTTGTACCTGGACCCTCTCTAAGTCACTTTGTTACTGAGAGGCCCAGATGGGTGGGATAAGGTTGGAAGAGCCCCTGTTGTCTACCGGAGTCTCCCTTGCTAGCTACTGAGCTCTGGTCCTTGGAGGAAAGACAGGAGGCCCAGCCCCCTCCAGGCCTGGCCCTGGCAGAGATGAGGTCACCCACAGCTGCTGGAGCAGGAAGGGGTGTGGGGCAACCAAGCCCAGGCAGCTCAGGCAACTCCACTGTGGTCAGAAAGGAATGTCAGAAATGAGCTGAGAGGCAGGAGAAACACACACACACACACACACACACACACACACCAACAACAAAAACTTCCAAGGCTGTAATTTCAATGGAAAAACAGCAGGCGGCCTATGGCCTATTGCCAAGGGGTCCTCTCAACTTCAGAGACTCAGACAGATGGAGGAATGTCAGGGTGGGAGAATGAAGGAGGCTGAGGCAGGGGAGGATTCCCCCTCCCCCCAAAAAAACTTTTAGGGCCCCAAATGACAGAGCTACAAGCACCTTTGGAAGTGTGCAGAGAGAATGTCAGACCTGACTGAGAAACATTGCAGAGACAGTTAGGACCGAGTGAGATCCACATGAGCCAGGCCTTGTCCCAGGCCTGCAGATGGATCACCCAGGGTAAACCTGCCCACAGAGATCCTGGCATGCCAGGCCCACTCCCGTGGCACACTCCTACCTCTAAAACTCAGCCCGTGCCAGGCTCTGACACACATTCCAGTGACCAGATGACAGGAAGGGGACCAGACATGTTCCCCTTCAAATCTGACCACTATCCAAGGCCCAGATTCCTAAAACTACATGACCACGCCACTTTTCAGCTCACAGTCCCTTCAGCAGTTTCTGTAACTATGGGGTAAGATGGAAGCTCCTGGGAGGCCAAGGGATCCCAATAATCTCCAGCCACTCCAGACTCATTGAGCTGTTTCATACTTCCAGAAGCTCCCCAGGAAGTTTCCTCTTTCTTGTTGCCAGTCCTTTGCCTGGAACACCTCAGGCTCATGCTAACATGTGTGGTTTCAAGTCACAGCTTGGATAGTCAGTCACCTTCTCTGCCTCTGTGTCTTTGGCTCCCCTAGTTCTGATCTCCATGGACAAGAGAACCAGACAGTGTAGCTCATCTCTGCATCGCACACAGGGCTGAGCATCTGTGTGTTCCAGGGGACTCAATAAAGGCTGGAAATGAATGTCTCTATGCACAGGCTGAGTAAGGCCCTGGAGCTGACCCAGGGGGAGACCTAGCCTTGCAGGGACATGGCTCCCCTGACCAAGGGGCAAGGCTCTCCCTCTGGTGAATGCTGGACTCTGAGGAAGCCTTGCCACTGGTCTCCATATTCAGGGTCAGAGCTGAAGCTAAAGGCCAGCCAACTAGTGCAGCTGGGGGCAGGAAGAGCAATAAACCACTGATTATAACCACTGATTATAGGTCTGCTCTGTTCCTGGTACTGCACTGTTTCAAATGCCAAATCATATCCAGTCCTCAGAACAGTGCTAAAATGCAAATTAGGAATCCCATTTCAACTGGGTGCTTAGTGACTCATGCCTATAATCCTGGCTTCCCAGGAGGCTGAGATCTGAGGATTGTGGTTCAAAGCCAGCCCAGGCAGGAAAGTCCATGAGATTCTTATCTCCACGTGACACTGTGGTTGAAAGTGGTAGAGCCACAGCCTTGAGCCAAAAGACCTCCTAGACAGTGCCCAGACCCCAAGTTAAAGCCCCACAGCTGGTCCCCCTCCCCTTCAAAAATCCTATTTCACAGATGAGACAAATGAAGCTCAGCGAGATTAAGGAATAAACCAGGGGCCACATAACAGAGACACCCAATAAATCAGAAATTTAGCTGATGAAAAGGGGTGGGGAAAGCAGTCTGCCTCTCTCTGACTCTACAAGTGAGTCTAGCTTTCTGCAGTGTGTCCACTCCCAAATCAGCAAAGCCTTAATTTCCTGGGTTAGACCCCTGCACCTCAGTCAAGGGCAACAATGTGGCTGAAGCCCACAAGGTCTAAATAAAGTCTCTGGAGTCTTAACCTGGTGCTGTTTGCCTTGTTCCCAGTGGGGCTCCCTCAGTGGGCTGAACTACCCCTTCCTCACAGCCCCATGCTAGGTCCAGTGGGCTGAACGCCACACTGCCAAGAGCAGGGGAGGAAGGATGTGACCCAGACCCATAGGATATCTGCACTGCCATTCTCTCTTGCCATATACTCTCAGTTCTCCCTTCTGAAAAGCAGGCGGAACCACTCTACCTAACAACCTAATAGTCTCTGAACACTTATATAAATGCATGTTGGGAAGAGAGAGATAGGGAAGGAGGGAGGGAATGAGGAAGGGGAGGAGAAGGAGAAGGAAGGAAGGGAGGGGGAGAGGAAGGGAAGGAAAAAAGGAAGGAAGGAAGGAAGGAAGGGAGGGAGGAAGGAAGGAAGGGAGGAAGGAAGGAAGGAAGGAAGGAAGGAAGGGAGGGAGGGAGGGAGGGAGGAAGGGAAGAAGGGAAGAAGGAAGGAAGGAAGGCAGGAAGGCAGGAAGGCAGGAAGGCAGGAAGGCAATAGGTAGGTAGGTAAAAGAAAACCTGGGCCCTGTGACCCACCCATTCCATGCTACATGTCCTGTCAGGTCCTGTCCAGCCCCACCCCACTGACCCCTATTTCCCACCCCAGCACTATCTGTATCCCTATACCATTCCTGATCTTTTTTTCTTTTCTTTTCTTTCTTCCTTTCCTTCTTCCTTTTTTTTGGTGGTACTAGGGCTTGAACTCAGGGTCTAGAGTCTAACACTTGAGCCATATCCCTTGACTTTTGTTCTGTTTGCACTGGGGCTTGAACTCAGGGCCTGGGTACTTTCCCTTAGCTTTTAGAAAGCTCAGGGCTGGCACTCTAACACTGCAGCTAGAGCTCCATTTCTGGTTTTGTAGTGGTTAATTGGAGATAAGAGTCTCATGGACTTTCTTGCTTGGGCTGGCTTCAAGCTGTGATCCTCAGATCTCAGCCTCCTCAGTACCTAGGGTTACAGGTGGGAGCCACTAGCACCTGGTTGTATTTTGTTTTTGATATAGCATCTCACTAACTTTGCCTGAGCTGGCCTCAACATCAAGATCTAGCAGCACACCATAACATGGATTCTGGAAAACAAGCAGCTCTCTCAGCTCTAGGACCTGGTTGATAGCCAGTTTTATTTTCAGCTTCCAAATGACAGAGTCCCTAAGGAACTTCACAGTCCACTCTCCTGCCTCCTGTGACCAAACCATCCCAAGAAAAGAGACCTTCTCCCATTACACAGGAATCCTCCCAACAAAGCTGAGTGTGATGGTACACACCTGTAATCTCAGAGGTGTAAGCTACGCAGAGGGTGGTAGAACAGCAAAAGTGAGTCCCTATCTAAAACCAAAATGAAAGCAAAAAGGTGTTGAGGAGGGGTGGCTCAAGTGGTAGAGCACTTGCTTAGCAAACAAGAGGCACTGAATTCAAATCCTAGTACTGCCCACCCCCTCCCAAGTACCCTTACATCTCTACTCCAGCAATGACAAATAGATGGTCATTCCATCCATTTGTGTAGCCATCTGTTTGAGATTCCCATCTGGACTCATCAGGAAGGAGCACAGTGATTAATTAGTAAAAGTTCCCATGGGGCTGAAGAGGGGAAATGTCAGCATACATCCCATGTGCTGGTCCTTCTTACTCCAGCCTCCCTCCCTCCACTCAGCTCCCAGAAGGCAGAGGCTGGGCCAACCTTCACTGTGTCCAATTTAGCATGGAACATACTAACTAGCCTAGAGGAGGAATTGCATAACTCCTTGCTCTCACAATCCCTATACACTGTAAGATCTTGTCATCTAGCTAAACTGTCTCTTGCAACGGGAGACACCTGTTTTACTGAGATGTCCATCTAAATTTCACCCCGTGTTGGCACACAAGCGACCTTCTGGTCTGTTTCCCGCTCTTCTGCACTGAGACGAGATGAGTTCTCACCGAGGAGGTGGGGTTGGGGGAGCCAGCGGGTAAGGCCTGTCGAGCATGTGCATGTGGTAGGCAGGCGGGGAGTACACAGGCGGCGGCTCTTCGTCAGAGCTACCCGGCTCCAGAGTCCTTTCCAAGATCTAAAGCAAAGACAATCAAAAAAGAAATATTATAATCCATCCTTAAATGTAAATGGCATCCAGACAAAACCAAGTGCGGTTCCTTATAAGGAACCCTGTGCGTCGCTGAGGGAGTGTAAATTGATACAACGGCTTCTTTGGAAAAGTGGCTTTTATCTACGAACTCTACCTCAGCCCTACAAATCCAGTGGACTCAGCAGAAAGGAAAGCACACATCTCCACAGGAATGTTCATGACAGAATTAAGCATCCAAGGAAGGTTCAGGAACAGGCCAAACACTGCCAGGTGCCAATGGCTCATACCTGTAATCTTAGCTACTCAGGTGGCTGAAATCTGAGGATCATGGATCAAAGCCAGGCTGAACTGGAAAGTCTATGAGACTCTTATCTCCAGTTAACCAACAACAAAAAACCAGAAGAGGAGTTGTGGCTCAAGTGGTAGAGCACTAAGCCTTGAGTGAGAAAGCAAAGGGACAGTGCTCAGGCCCTGAGGGCCCTGTACTGGTGTACACACACACACACACACACACACACACACACACACACACACACACACACACACACACACACACACACGAACAGGCATAACACAGAGATGAGAAGCAGAGCAGTGTGAACTCTGGGATGGATAAGGAAAGGAAGGAACTCGTTCTGCTGAGGATGGTTCTTCATCTGACAACAAAGTGCATATTCACTGTGAGATGTTCACTGCTGGGCTACACAGCTGTGATTTGTGTCCTTTTCCTTTTTATTTATTTATGTATTTATTTTAGCTGGTCCTGGGGCTTGGACTCAGGGCCCGGGTGCTATCCCTGAGCCTCTTTGTGCTCTACCACTTTAGCCATAGTGCTACTTGCAGCTTTTTTTGAGTAGTTTATTGGAGATAAGAGTCTCATGGACTTTCATTCCCAGGCTGGCTTTGAATGATGATTCTTTTTTTTGTTTGCTTGTTTGGTCAGTCGTGGGGCTTGAACTCTCTGGGCTTGGGCGCTGTCTCTGCGCTCTTCAGCTCAAGGTGAGTGCTCTACCGCATGAGCCACAGCGCCACTTCTGGTTTTCTAGTGGTTTATTGGAGATAAGAGTCTCACAGACTTTCCTGCCTGGGCTGGCTTTGAACAGCGATCCTCCTGAATAGCTAGGTCATGAGAACCAGCGCCTGGCTGAGTGACGATTCTTGTTACCCGCATTGCTGTCTATTATCTTAACCTCCAACAGCTTGGCAAGGGAAGACTTGGATCATCACACCCATTTTGCAGGTGAGGAAACTGAGGTCCAAGTTAATAAAGCAATAGCAAAAGTCATCCACTGGTATTAGATCTGACACTTCCATTTGGACTCTGGTCTTCACAGCCAGGTCTCACCCTCAGGTGCAATGCCTGACCAATCATATTACATAGAGCCTACTTGCCCTTCTGGACTCTTCACTCAGGGGCCAGAAAGAAGGGCAAAGCTTGGGTTTCTGCCACTTGGGTTGACTGAGACCCTTCTTCAGAAGCATCTGGGACAAGAGGCCCTCCATACACACCATGGTCTCCTGCTCCTCCCTGTTCATCCTTCATGGCTCTGTTTCCCCACCATAGCTCTATTCTCAGCCCCCCCAAGTCTGAAGAACAGGGCAAGGCTCAGAGGCTGCGTGAACCAGCCTCACATTTAACTCCAAGTGAGTTTGTAGAAGTTGCTGCTAAAGCTGCCTCTGCAAGTCTGGGCTGGGCTGCGCTGGCACGTCTCCGCTCTGGACCAGCCATGCCTGGCACACAGTGCCTCCAGGAACACCCCAGGGGTAAGCATGCACAAATGAGCACACACATGCGCACACCGCAGTGCTCTGTGCACACGCAGCCAACCCGACCCAAGGAGGCCTCCTGCTCTGGAATGCGCTAACGTTCTTTCCTCTGAGGTGGAAAGTATTTAAACAGATGCTTCTGCAGGGAAAGAAGAATGTCACTGCTTTTGGGGCTGCTGCTCTGTTTACCCTGTGTTTCCACAAGAAGGAGGTGGTGGGGGGGGGGGGGGGGAGGGAGGGGACTGTAAGTGCTGTTCCTGCTGGATGGCAAATTCCTCACGATTCCTGATTCCTAGCATAGGGCAGCAGTTCAGTAAGAACTGGTTCCCACAGGGGAACCTGCTACCCCGCCGTCACCCCATTCCTGAAGGAAGGGGTTCCAGGCTGGGGCTGGTCTAGTTGCATGGGAAGGAGAGCTCTGGGGGAACTATTCCCAGAGGAAGCTTGCTGGGGGTTTCCTGTGACTATCAGCCTGCAGCATCAGCCCCCACAAACCCACTCCCTCCACAGCACAGCCATGGAAGCAGCAGCTCCTGCAGAGAGGAATGGCTCCAGAAAGGCAGATTTCCCAGGCCCAGATGTCTGGCTTCTCACATGCTTTATGAAGCACTAGCAGTTGCTAGTGGCTCGAGCCATCAGGATGAATCCTGGCTACTCAAGAGGCTGAGATTAGAGGATCATGGTTCAAAGCCAGCCTGGGCAGCAAGGTCTGTGAGACTCTTTATCTCCAAGGAACCAGCAAAAAGCCAAAAGTAAAGGTGTGGGTCACAAGGTCCAATGACAGCATTGAGCATAAAAGCTAAGAGACAGCACCAAGGACTAGCACAAAGGAAAAAAAAAAAAAAAAGAGTTCCCGCCTTTGCAGCTTCCGAGTCTCTCTCTTTTCTCCACCAACCACAAGGAATGGATTCCTTTGGCTTTAAAGGTGCTGGAGGCTCTATGGCCTCCTAGCTTACCTCATTGCGGGTGATGGATGGCTGCCAGGTGCTCTGAGAGGGGCAAGGTCTGGGCCATTTATCTGACAGGAGTTATTTCTCTGTGGCAAGGATACCCCTTGGGCCAGCCCACCATCCATCAGGCTCAGGGCAGGGGCTTTTTCCAGTCAGCAGTTATTGTCATTCCAGCTGCTGCTCATAAATTTTCTGCAGCACTTTGTGCTGGCTCAGGAGCTGCCTGCTGATGAGCCTAGGCAGGGCTCCAAAAGGTGGGGGCTGGGGGAAGACCTAGGGGGAAGGGATGCTCAGCAGGGGCCCAACCTGGAGGAGTACACGAACCTTAGGGGGACGGGTGTGTACCCTGCAGGTGAGTCAGAGCTGGGGAAGCCCCATGGGGAAGCATGGGGCTGTGGGCTCCATGCATGGATATGGGAGCACACGATCCTTATCTATCCATGAGGAGGGTCAGGATTTTCTCATACTTCCTCTGCTGGCTGATTAACAGGCAGGTCAAAGGAGTGGGTTCCAAGGAGGAAAAAAGGTGCTAGAAAGCTGTACAAAAAACAGCAGCAATGTTGATTCATCCAACGGACATTCCCTGCGCACCTGCTACCTGCTGGGAGCCGCAGGCGATGCAGGTGACACAGGGGCAGGCACCACTGCCCACGGGGCTTCTCTTCCCCTGAAGACAGAATTCCCCAGGGGTAGGAAGAGGCTGGCCATGCAGGATGGCCTGACTGATGGACAGGCGCTGCCTGCAGGGCTGGCTTAACATCCCCAAGGCCATATCTGGGTCTAGGTTTTTCACTGTGAAGACGACTCACGTCCTGTAATCCGGGCTACTCAGGAGGCTGAGATTTGAAGATTGCAATGTGAAGCCAGCCCAGGCAGGAAAATCCATGAGCCTTTTATCTCCAATTACACAACAAAAAGCCAGAAATGAAGGTAAGGCTCAAGAGGTAGAGTGCCAACCTTGATTAAAAAACAAAAAAACAAGAAACAGTTCAAGCCCTAGTACTGCGCGCGCGCGCACACACACACACACACACGACTCCAGGTCTGGAATTAGTGATGTGAGTGGGGCCCAAGCACCTGCACATTTAACACATCCCTGGATTCTGATGACCCTGACCATCGAGTGAGTGCTGCGTGTTCGTGGAATGACTGACCATGACTTCTGCTGCTTCCTGACCACTTACTTCCAAATAAGGAAGGAAGGTTGCTTGCTGGCCAGAACCATTCGATCGGAACCCAGCCAGCTCAGAGGAAGCTGCGCTTTTGGTGAATTAGAAGCCCCAGCCTGCCTACCTCGGGAGGGATGCTGTCTTCCGAGTCCGAGCTGTCCTCGTAGGGGCTGCCTGCCCCTGCCTCCAGGTTCATCTGCAACAGCTGGTCGATAGTGGCGTCCACGGCGCCGCTGTTGGCACGGAGGACGCACTCGATGATGTCGTAATCCATGTTAGGGAACATGGTCTTGAAGTCGTCCATGGCCTGGTTGAACTCCAGACGCCGCACCTGGCGAGCTGGCCGGCTATTGTTGAGCTCCTGCGGGGCGGCAGCGCTGCCTCCTCCGGCCCCAGCCCCAGTCCCGGGGCCCCGCGCCCCGGCGGCCCCGCTCCCACCGCTCCCGCCACCGCTGCTGCTCCGGCGGAACAGGCTGGTCATTTTGCTGAAGTGCTTGGGGAGAATATTTCCTACCGGCCGAGCGGTCCCCGCACCCACGGTCCACGGCTTGCTTGCTCCAAGGGCGCAGGAAACTCACTCCTGCACCTCCCCTGCGCGAGGCCCAGGCTCAGGGTCTGGAGAGTGCGCGCGCTGGTGGTGGTGTGTGCGGGGAAGGACCCCAGGCAGCCCCTTCGGGAGGGGTCCTGTTCCTAGCGAGGTGGCGGCATGCGGGGCTGAGCTGTGCGGGAAGCTGGGCATCAGGTCATCCACACCCCTGGGGCATCTTGTCGGCTAGGTCCCACCTGAAACGGAGAAGCCAGGGTCAGAAGTGAGCAGACATGAGCTTCAGGGGGCAGCCAGGGAGTTGGTTATTAGAAAATAAGAACTGGGGAGAGCCTCCCCCCACCATCAGCCTAGGGGGAGACCTCCTTTCTGCTATTTCTCCAATTGCCATACTTAGCATCCCGCCTCCCTTTTTTATTGGGGGTGGCAGTGCAGAAATTTTGCAGGATTATGCACGTGCTAAGCAAGCACTCCAACTCTGGGCTACACCCCCAGACAGGTCATAGCTCCTTTCCAGAGCTACAGACAGCATGGCGCGCTCTACCCCAAAACATCCTAAACCCGGGCTGGGAAGGTGGTAGAGCACTTGCCTTGCATGCATGAGGCCCTGGGTTCGATTCCTCAGCACCACATAAGCAAAAAGAAAAAAGCCGGAAGTGGCGCTGTGGCTCAAGTGGTAGAGCGCTAGCCTTGAGCTGAAGAGCTGAGGGACAGCGCCCAGGCCCCATGACCGGATCCACCCCCCCCCCCCAAAAAAAAAACCATCCTAAACCTTTATATAGGTTAACCTATGACAACTCTGAGATGTTAGCTGGTAATCCCCCTCCCCCTCCCAGCAGAACCAAAGGGAGTAGGAGCCAGGATTTGAATCTAAAAAGTACATCACTGCCCCAGCCGCTGGCCACAATTGCTACCCATCCTGACAAAGACCCCTGAGGACCAGATGGGCCTGGAGGGGCTCAATGCCCTCTGGTCACTCGCCTCTCTAGACCCTGCTTCCCTCCACTTTGTGCACCACCATCAAATTTCTCCCCACTTGGTGGCGTGGCCCTTGTACAGAGCCCCAGTGAGTGCAGGAAATGCTTCCTGTCACCAGGAACTTTCAGCCTGAGACAGGAAACATCATTTGCATCCTTGAAGAGCCTGGGGCTGATGGGGTCACTCAGACCCAGACCCCACTTTTGGAGAGCAGAGACCAGGCCCTAAAATGTAGAAGAAGCAGGATACCTGAAGTCATCTCCTCTGTCTTCATTTTCCCCCCACCCTCTATGTTAAGCTGACAAACTTTGTGGGGTGTTTTTTTTTTTCTTTCTTTTTTCTTTTTTTGTTGGTCCTGGGGCTTGAACTCTGGGCCTGGGCACTGTCCCTGAGCTCTTCAGCTCAAGGCAAGCACTCTACCATTTGAGCCATAGCACCACTTCTGGTTTTCTGGTGGTTAACTGGAGATAAGGGTCTCAAGGACTTTCTTGCCTGGGCTGGCTTTGAACTATGAGCCTCAGATCTCAGCCTCCTGAGCAGCTAGGATTACAGCCATGAGCCACCAGTGCCCCGCTGAGGATTTTAGTTCTTATATCCTCAGTGTTCACTAGCTACTCAGAACCCACATGCTTTTGGTTTTCCACTTTCGAATCTAATACACCTCTGGAATTAGGCAGACATCCAGCAGTTCGCAGAACTGGAGTCAGTTGACAATTTCCATGTCCTTCCAAGGAGGTAGAGATGAATGATTAGATCCTCAGCATGGTGGCATCTGAAGCCACTGAACCATGAGGGGACTGGGAATCAGTGGCAGCAATGTGTGCTCTGCCCCTCCATGGCCCTTTCACAGCCCTCAGTCCTACCTTGCTCACACCCTCAAGCCTTGGACTGCTCTGATTGAGACAAGAAGCATGCCACTGATTTGCACACAGGAATGTTTGTCCATCAGCTGTTAAGCTAGTGTGCCCAGTCCTAGAAAAGGAAGACTAGATTCACACCCATTTTATCAAACAAGAGTATCCTTTGATGGCACAGTCCCTTAAGATGCAAACTGACAACAATCGGGCAACAATGGCTCATGCCTTGTAATCCTAGCTACTCAGGAGGCTGAGATCTGAGGATCATGGTTCGAAGCCAGCCTGGGCAGGAAAGTCCATGAGACTCTTATATCCAATTAAGCACAGAAAAACCTCAAGTAGGAGCTATAGTTCAAGTGGTAGAACACTAGCCTTGAGCAAAGGGAGCCCAGGGACAGCACCCAGGGCCAGAGTTCAAGCCCCAGAACAGGCAAAAATGAAAAATAAATAAACACATGGAAAGACACTACTGTGTGAACTCGGAGCCTTGTGCTTGTTAGGCAGGTGCTCTACCACTTAATCCAGGCTTCTGAGCTCTCAAGGCTGTCTTGAAGAACCACATATGTCTTCAGTTCTGCTCTTATCCCCACTACCAAACTCAGACCCTCTGCCCCAGTCAACCTGGTCATGGCACCCCAGACTCAGCTCAGTCATGCCATGCAGATGTTGAATGGAAAGTCAAACAGAATTAGGGCTAGACTCTGTAACTGAGAACTCCCTCAGAACTAGACAGGTTAATTATGTTAGGTCACATCTCTGTTAGGGCAGAATATGTCTAAAATCATCAAGTCTCAACTTTCTCCAGCTTATCCCAAGACTAATTTTCTTTTTCTTTTTTCTTTTTTTTTTAATGCTAGTCTAGGAAGAGGCTTGAACTCAGGGCCTGGGCACATCCCTTAGCTTTATTGCCCGATGCTGCTACTCTACCACTTGAGCCACAGTTCCACCTCTAGCTTTTTGGTGGTTAATTGGATATAGGAGTCTCATACTTTCCTGCTTGGGCTAACTTCAAACCACGATCCTCACATCTCAGCTAGGATTACAGGCATGAGCCATTGTTGCCCGATTGTTGTCAGTTTGCATCTTAAGGGACTGTGCCATCAAAGGATACTCTTGTTTGATAAAATGGGTGTGAATCTAGTCTTCCTTTTCTAGGACTGGGCACACTAGCTTAACAGCTGATGGACAAACATTCCTGTGTGCAAATCAGTGGCATGCTTCTTGTCTCAATCAGAGCAGTCCAAGGCTTGAGGGTGTGAGCAAGGTAGGACTGAGGGCTGTGAAAGGGCCATGGAGGGGCAGAGCACACATTGCTGCCACTGATTCCCAGTCCCCTCATGGTTCAGTGGCTTCAGATGCCACCATGCTGAGGATCTAATCATTCATCTCTACCTCCTTGGAAGGACATGGAAATTGTCAACTGACTCCAGTTCTGCGAACTGCTGGATGTCTGCCTACTACCAGAGGTGGATTAGATTTGAAAATGGAAAACCAAAAGCATGTGGGTTCTGAGTAGCCAGTGAACACTGAGGATACAGAACTAAAATCCTCAGCGGGGCGCTGGTGGCTCATGGCTGTAATCCTAGCTGCCCAGGAGGCTGAGATCTGAGGCTCATGGTTCAAAGCCAGCCTAGGCAGTAAAGTCCATGGAACTCTTATCTCCAATTAAATCACAGAAAAAAGCCCAAAGTGGGGCTGTGCCTCAAGTGATATAGAGCGCTAGCCTTGGGCAAAAGGAGCTCAGGGACAGTGCCCAGGCCCAGAGTTGAAGTCTCATGATTGGTGCACGCATGCATGCATCACACACACACACACACACACACACACACACACAACTAAAATCCTCTCCCTCTTGGAAATGCATGCTAACATAATAATATGTCAATGTGTCTCTGTTTATTCTTTGCATATACTACTGTACGTAAGTTTACTCAAATGTGATCAAACTCCACATTCTATGCCACCACATTTTTCTACTTAATATTGTAGTCATCTTCCTGTGTCAAAACACAGAGACTACTTTATCATGTTTAACGCTTCAGTGGTAATGTGTTGACTGGGGGAAGCATGATTTATTGCCCAACTCCATCTATCACATCTCTGCCCAGAGAAACAAGTCACCGCCCAGGGAGGCCAAAGCCATTTCCCAAGGAGAAACAGAAAGATGGCCTCAGCGATGAGCCCACAGATTGCTTACAAGAATGAGCATGGGAAAGCGGCCCAGTATACACAGTCACCCACAGCTGACTCCAAATACCTTTACCCCTTTCACATCTCCCAATGCTCCAGCTTAGCAGGCGATAGGCAGGATGCTTCTACTCTGGCTTTGCCATAATGCCCTCCAAGGCAGGGCTCCACCCTGGTGGCTGCTTTTGTCTTGGGGTCTGGGGACCCACCCTAATAGGGCCAGGAGGGCCCATGAGCCATCATACATAGGGGTCAGAGCTTTGTCTTAAGGCCCTCTGGACTAAACCATCTCCCTGCCCTTAGATCATTCAGTACAAAAGACGAGGACCTACCTCACCTTCTCATGAACCATCACTCAGAGAAAGATGCCAGGACCTGGCCTACCCCATACAGGAAGAAGAAAATTGGTGAGGCCTACATTTCCCCATACATGAGCAGCCCTCTGGACAAGTCCCTCAGGCGCTAAGCCTCTGAATGTGGAGAAGCCCAAGAGCCTACTATGGACAATACAGTGAGCATGTGCTAGCCAGACCCAGGCTGCTGCTCAAGCTCTGCCATGCCCTAGCGGCAGGGCAAGTTTCCTGTCTGCTCCGTGGCTCTACATGGCCCCTGTAGGTGTCCCTGGTGTGGTCTCCCTGCAATTGAAATATGATGAGCATGTTTCAATGTGCAATTGCTCTCTGAACATGGTGAGCTGCCTACATGTCAGCTCCCCAGGAGGCTGGTGAAGAGCTGGGAGCAGGGCTGGCCAAGCTGCTGCTCAGGGGGCTGAAGTGAGTGGGGGATGACTTGGGGGACACTCTTCCCCGGCATCTGGAATGTCAACCCCTGGGATCCCTTTCAGCTCTCTGGAAGGAAATGCCAATACTCTCTGTTCCAGGGAAGGCCTTGCTGGTCTGGGCATCTGGTGACAACCCAGCTCAAGCAGCCTCTTCCATGTATAAGAGTCCACCCCCAGTGTAAAGCCTTGAAAAATGTCATTTTTATGTGCATGTCACAGCATGTAAATGGCTGACAATGCTAATCCACTCCCCCACCTCGTTCCACGGTATGGTAAAGAGACTAAGACCCAAGACCAAGAGGGTACAGAGCAAGCAATAGAAACTTTTCCACCAATTTGCAATAATAAGGATTGCAAATAGTAATGGGAAGCCAGGCACAGTGGCTCATGATTATAATCCCAGCTACTCTGAGGTAGGAATACACCTGCGAGATTA